AATTTTTACTAATTGTATGTTTGCCGTGTCTTGCAACTTCTACGTTTTTAAATGCATCTTCGGATTGCTCTCGTTACAGCGCTAACGAAATTGCAAAATGTTTCCTATAACACACAGAATATATGCATAAAAGATTTCTTTTTATATCATACTCTGCCACTGTATATCACGTAGCGCATTCGTTACAAAGCCTTTCTTTTCTCAAAATCTCCATTTGCAAGTCCATCGATGAAATCGGTCTGTTTTCAAGCAATTGATCCATGAAGAATCGCCTGTGACTGTGACGACTTCTTAGAATAGTACAGATAGATCATACGTTAAACGATCTACTTGAGGTTAGCGACAAATTTAAATTAACAAATATTAAGAAAATGGAAATAAGAGAATGAAAGTAAGAAGACAACTCGTCTTATCGACGGACGAAGAACAACGCGTAAATTATCGACAAAAGGTACGCTTGTTATCGACGGACATAACAGGATCCGCTGACTCATACCGCGTTGTTCAAACGCGAAACGGCAAATTCGCATATCTCTGCAGATTTAATTGGCGAACCGGTAAATGGTAAAAAAAAAAAGACAGTATCGATCAGAGTAAAAGCAATCGATCGAGGGAACCTTGTAACACTTTGGATGGATATCGATCGCGTGCACTTTTTACATTATTTGTTAAGAAAACATTTAAATATAGACTTTGCGACGCGTCTATCGCATATCGCACCGTAACAGAGCAATAATAGAAACGCTTCAGCTTCGTGATAACGAGTTGTGATAACACGCAGGAAACAATGCGATAACAGTGACTTCGGTTAATTGATACGGGCAATTAGATCAGCGATCGCATTCCTGCCTTCCTCGATCCTCCATCAAACATGAAGAAATTCTAACAATTGCGAACAATCGCGAAAACAATGCACGACGAAACAAGTTGACCTTTCGAGAAGACGTTCTCGAAGACAAGAAGAACGTTTCTTGTCGAAACGAAAGTTAAGGTACGCGACTGAAGCGTTTTGTCGTATCGTATAGGTATGCTCGCGTACATATTCATCTTGGCATAGGTTCAACGTTTTTCGGTAAAATTACTTCGTTGCCATGCAGAGACTGTTGACGTTCCCTTTTAACAACATCGATGTAACACCCCCGATGAGCGATCATGATAACGAAAAGTATGCTCAAAGTCGAAGCGCCGAGATAAAAAATGCGCGTCAAATTAAGTTTTTATCTAGGCTACCGCGTATACGCGGAAACGCGCGATACGCGTCTCTTTTCGTTGCATCTGTTTCTCGTAGAATTTCATCTAAAATCGACTTATTGTTTACTCGCAGCGGGAAGAGCGAGGCAGAAATGGTTTTCGCATTGGTAGTTCAGCGATCATTCGCGTAAACGTTTATAACATCGACCAGCGGATTCGCCAGGCACGTCAAAACGTGTACATTTACACTTATAGTTAGAAGCGACGGTTAGTTTTGGCGGGACTCGTCAACGATGGAAAGCGAATATCGAAAATGTCTGGAAAACTTACCACTGTACGACTTCCCCACGTGGGATTGCAACGCCTCTGCGTAATATTCGGGAACGGTAGTTTCGACATCGAACGTACCGAACGTAAAGTTTGGCTGTTTCTTGATAAACTCTACCATGGACTTCATCATTAACTGACACGTGTGTTTGCCAGTAAGCTGACTCTGTCCGCTGGTCGCGTACACCAGATGCACCTTGTGCCATTCGTATCTACGATAACGTTACAAATTAGTCGAGTCCGAGTTAAACCTAGATCGTTTTTAAACATGTTCTGTCGTTGATTAAATCGTTCGCTAATTCTTCCTTCATTTACCGATTCATCAAAGCTACGAAAAAGTTGGCGAGATCCCTGAAGGCCACATTTCCGATTCTAGTTGTCATAAAGTACTCGTCCTTGCACTCGGTCTTCTTTTCCGTAAAATCGTAGGTGAATCCACCGGTGGTAATTAAGGGCGAGCCGAAGAATTTCACCACTCTGCCAACAGACGCTGAAATTAAACATCAACCTTGAACGTACGAAACCCCGTGGGCTTATGAAACTGCTGATAGATCGCTGCGTTACTTACCCACGCAATAATCGCAGGCAGGCCCGAGAAACAGATGAACGCAATTCAAGAAGCTATCGATCGCGCCACTTTGAGCGTACATCGCGTCGCAGTGATCATCCTGCGGAAGAAACTTTAATTTCAACCAGTAGGGTAGAAGTCCTCGCGATCTGGCTTCGTAGACAGCCAAATCTGTGAATGCAACCGACAACCAACAAGCTCTCTAGATTGTTCCGATACGTTTACGATAATTACAATAACATTTTCTTATGCCGTAGCTACTGTCGCATAAGAAACAACGCCGATTCTGTACGACAAGGGAAACTTACCGAGAACCGGAAGGACTTTCGGCAACGCGATATCGAACCTAGGATCCGCCGGCAGAAGAACCGCTACTCTCAACTCGCATGAACTCACACCGTCTTGATTCTTCTTGCAAAGAGCTTCACAGTCGCGGGCAAGTTGTACTTCGCGACAGTTCACTTTTCCATTCACCGGACACCAGCCAATTAGCCAGGCGATCGTCAATGCAACGATCCAATTGGTATCCATCTATGTGCGACGTCCTACGCTTTTCCCTTCAAACGAGATCGGTGAACCGCTCTGAACGTTTCGACGACGATGAGCCCTTGTTCGCTACTACGGTTTCGCGAATATCACGACCAACGATTCCTCTCCTGCTCGAATCCATCCTTTTCCTTGTAAGTCTTCGTTTCGCACTCTAACTTCTTCTTCCGGTCGTTGCGCTGTCAATCGAAACGAATCAATGCTGAACGATTCGATATTTTTATATTTCGATTAAAACCTGACCCCGACCTAATCCTAATAGAAAGGAAACCGCGACGCGATCTATCCTACCAGTTCTCTCCAACTATTCTCGGATGCTTCCTGCTGGAATGTTCCGGCGCTAACCCCTCCGTACCTACCATAAGATTCCCACGAACGATACGTTTCGATCCGAGTTTCCAGTCAGAATCCGAGTTTCATTGATCAAAGTAGTAGCGATCGCTGAAAATGGATTTCCGCGCGGCTCACGCCGCTAACACGTCCCCTGTATCAACCCCCTTGTGGCACGACGCGAGATCCGCCCGAGGATACGAAAGAAGAAACAAACTGCCGAGAACGAAAGGAGTACTACTGACACTCTGGATGATCTTGAACCGCATTAGCCAGTCACAAACACCCAAGTACACCTCTCGTACGCTCGTGTCGTGTTATCGCTGATTTTCTATCGCGTCGATTGATAATAGCTATCGAAAGCTTCGCTCACCTCCTCTCGCATTTTCTTCGACAGTTTCGATTAATAATAATCTAACGCCGTTCGTTTTTCGTGTATACAGCTCCATCATGACGTATGCTTCTTTTCTTTTCGTCGCTGATATCTTTTAACGAGAACCGCGGGATCTCATCTCGAATGTGAATATCTGAATTCTACTCTCTCGGTCTCTTTGCGAGCTGGCTTTACTGTTCCGTATCATGGTATGGACAACAATTCACTTGTCTTGATAACACCTACGAGGGTCGCATGATAACTAATGCACACTCTCTCGTCTGTATCTCGAGAATGAGAAAAGAGTTACAACTCTGCGTGACCACTTATTTTATAGCTACATCCCTCCTTTATAAATATGCCAAGTGTCGATAAGTTTGCTTGACGCAGTCACCAACAGTATTGTTTCAAGTGAGACTGAAAATGGATGCAACGTTAACGAGATTCAAGAAACGTGCAGTGATCGAGTTTTTAAAGATGGAAAACGTTAAACCTGTGGAAATTCATCGCCGTTTACCGGCTGTGCGTGCCACGATATCAAGATCATAAAACATTTGCGAACACGTATATGACGGTTTTGGAATTCGATATCGTTGCAGCACGACGTTCGGCCGCACACCGCAAACACAACACCTGATGCTCTTGCGAGTTTGAAATTTAAAGTCGTTTTGCAACTGTCTTATAGCCCACGTCTGGCACCTTCGGATCTCCATTTCTTTCCAGAATTGAAGAGGACCTTGAAAGGTATTCGTTTCAGGATAAACGATAAAGTCGAGGCAACGGTGAAATACTTTATCAGAAATAGGCTGGCAGAATCCTTTGCTGTCAGGACGAAAAGACTTGTCAAGCGTTAAGAAAAACGTATAGAAGTTAACGGCGATTATATTGATCTTTTGTAACTAATGAATCGTACTATCGTTTCCTTCTCTTCTTCATTTCCACTTCCTTTCTCGAGATACAAGCGAGAATACATTTACTTGTCAGTCTTGTATTTAGTTAATTAACCGCAACTTTGATATTTCAATGTAAATAAAACACCAACTCGAACCCTTGCTTTTTCAAATGACTTTAACTTACTTTTCTGAAAAACTGCAAAATAAAAGTAAAATGAACTTCTATTACCTGCGAAGATCCTTAAATTTTTAAACTATTATCATTTGTACATAACCTTCTTCTTCTATAATAATGATCGTACGAATGATGATGAAAATAAAAAAAATAGAGGGGATAGTACCTTAGTAAGTACACTGAATGCGAATGCGAATTATTTTGAAACAATTCAGTCTCTGATAAGTATCGCCATTCTGTAACTGAAACAATCGGCACGTCGTACGCCACTTTGTATTTCAAATATTTACAACATGATTTCTATGAATATAACTAACGCCGCGATTTTTTTCCTACAGATGTACCACAGCGGACGATAATTGTAGTAAAATTGCACATATCAAAATATTTATTTATGCATTTTATTGCTATTTGTTATTTGAAGCGTTTGTAGAATATTTCCGTTACTAATATTTCTTAATTTATTTGTCTATCTTAATAATAGACGAAAAGCCACGAGAAACAACATACAGTTTCGTCTCACACAGATGGGCTAATTTATGGATATATTTTGGCGCCAAACAGTGCTTTGTCGTTTGCGCATAAAGATGGCGTACAAAATCACTAACAGTTATTTATCAACTTCTAGCAGTGGTCGCAAAATGACGATCATGGTCGTGATCTTACTTTATTCACGATCGATTTTTTGATCTTGAGTAAAATTATTCAATGCGATAGTATTTCTTGATCTTGATTAAATTATTTCTTATAAAATACTACAATATAGCTTGCGTGTAATGTTAGTTCAAAATTACGTTACGTTTTCTTCATATAAATAAATTTGCTTTATTTGATATTAAAAATAATTCAATTTCCTTTTCTTTATCTTATATCTTAAAGAGTAAAATATTAATCCTTCCTCTCGATTTCAAAATCGTAATATACATTTAGTGTCGTTAATGTAAAATATACAGGTTATGTGATGCGTGCAAAAAACATTCCTCCACCAATTAGAAGCGATCACAAAAAACCACAAATTACTGTGGAAAATCAATGTGATTGGGAACGATTGCGATCGAATCACTGTCATTCATAAATTCACAAGTAGTAGTTCCCGCCATCTCTACTGATTAATGCTTACGCGTCTATGATTAAATGTTGTGTACTCTTAAAATTTTGACTTAAAATTAAACATGAGCGGAATCGATTTTCAGAAATTTTACGACAGCGAAACGGTCGAGAAGGTGGAAAAACAAGAAACAAATTGTGAGAGAAAGGTATCTAAAACGTGGGTGAAGAAGCATCGAAAAATGCCATCAAGCATTTTAGGGCCGCCCGACTTTTGGATGAAATTTGATAAACAAGTGGATGCGCTTAACACAGCTTCGAAAGAGAGTAACGATTACAATATGCTTTGCACGTTTGTTTATCAGGAATGTAATGGTTATCGTAAATTCATAGTAGCTCATCCTGAAATATATTGGTGGCATTATGAGCATCTCCCGGCAGAAAGAAGATGCTCTTACGAGGTATGTTATCGATAACGTTTCGTTGCATTTGATGGTATTTAAGATACACATAGAAACGACGCAATAAATTTACATTTAAATTCAGATAATTCCAGAAAATCAGCCTTGTCGATTATATTTGGATTTAGAGTATTCGATCGAACTAAACTCTGAACATGATGGACCGTCTATGACAAATATATTAATTGATATTTTTTGCATGTACTTGCTTAAGCACTGGCGTATAATATGCAACAGATACAACGTAATCAATCTAGATTCAAGTACTGACGAAAAATTTAGCAGACATGTTATATTTAATATTAGAGATGTAGCCTTTAGAGATAATTATCATGTTGGTAGATTGGTAAAATCTATATGCATGGATATTTTGGATTATGTTTCATCTAAGGAAAAGCAACACGATATTTTAACCTGCTTTGATAGAATGCAACTTGAAGGATTAATTGTTGAAACAAAGAAAGGAAAAAGACTGTTTGTCGACACTGCAGTTTATACTAAGAATAGGCATTTTAGAATATATAAATCCACCAAATGGGGGAAACAATCAAATCTGGTGGTCTCAAATGATTGTAAATATATTTGTTCTAGTGCATATAATGATAACGAATTAAGCATATTTTTAGATTCTTTGATATCGTATTTTGATACGAAGAAAGGCTTGATATTACTGGAATGGTCTGGAAACTGTGTACCAAATACGAATTGTTTTAAGGATAGAGTACAACAATGCAGTTATCAGGAAAGTGGTAGTGCCTGTTCAAACTTTCCAATGTTAGATAAATATGTTAACAATTTAATATCTCCTGGAAAGATACGTATATGTAAACATTATGAATATGCAAAAATATTGGTCTATGAAACTGTGGGATACAGGTATTTACAATTTTTTATATCAGATTATTCTAAAATCACGATAAAAAAAAGTAAAAAAGTAAGTTAAAAATCTACAATTAAATTTTGTCATATGTGGCTCCATTTTTGGACAAAAAAGATTTAGAAATTTGTTAAATACCTATACTCAGAAACATATTATTTCATTCACTAATTCTGATTAGCTGTGCTTATTCATTTTTGTATTTATAAGTACAGTATATGTGAATATAAAATTAGTATAATTTCAATTCATGCCATAAGTTTCAGTACTTAGATTATTCTAGTAACTTACAAAGTGCTGGAAATATCATCCATGATGTTGCAGCCAGATTGTTGCTCAGTGAATTAAATAAGCATAGTATTACCGCTTTATTCTTTATTTTTATATATATCGTAATAAAAATAGCTCATTTTAAAAATAACCGAAATCGTCATTATCTAATAAATATGTATCACAGAATCATTGGAAGAAATGAAGAATTTAAACACATCAATTATTATCAATTCATGTAATTGTAATTCACTATACAAGTAGTCTACAGATTCAATTCTATATATATCAAGGGCAATATTTTCAGTGTTATGTAAATAATTAATATAAATAAATTATTTATGATGGTATGTATTTAGAATGATACCAAGTCTTGATTGACGTCGTTTATAACGATAAATAGTAATAGTGGTGACTCATCAGATTGAGCACAAATAAAGAAGTGGGTTGTTGCTATATAAATGCATGCTTGCTTAACGAATTTTTTAAAAATTTGTATTTTCCTATAAAGGAAGTCTCATGTGAACACATTTTATTCTATGTTTTGATCTACTTTTTTACATGAAAAATCCCCCCCCCCTCCCTTCGGTTGTGCAATGATAATCGTAAAAAGCAAATATTACTTTTTTTTTGCTAATAGGTACTGTGAAAATATTGGCAGGTGTCATAAAAGTAACAATGTTTTATGGATCGTAAATTTAAAAAATAAAATGATATATCAGAAATGTCATGATCCAGACTGTTTTGGTTTTAAATCTCAACCAAAACAATTACCAGAGGAAATTTATTTTCAAATCGACGAGGAAGGTGATACATTTTTGAGTAGTGTCATAACAGAGGACATAGTGTAGAAGACTAGTCCTTTTAATATCAAAAAGTTGTATTGAGGTAGAAATACCTGAAACACAGTATTTTTAAATGGAGGTAATACACAGATGGGAACAAAGTTGTTGAACAATTTCAAGTACACAATACAAAGCTTTGTTTCCACGATATTTTCTCCTGAGATTGGTACGAAATGTTAAAATATAAAACATTTACATGCTTCTTTTACATAATATTGCAAACGTCTTATATAATATACTAGATTATTGTGTATTATATTAAGATGTGTACTACATTAAGATGTATGTTACATTGCACAGATTATTTACAATTTATATAAGTAATGAATGTGAATCGATTTCATTATATAGACACACATATATATAACTGTACATAACAAATTCAGATATATGAACTTATAGAAAATTAATTCTCCATATTTTATGCAACTATTTATATTTTCACTACCCCCAGTGTACATAAATACAACATAGCATTTTGGCTGTGTAAAATTATGTAGACAAAAAGATCATGTACAAATTGTAATTTACCTTACATTTTTTTACGACTGAATACATTCTTCTTCCTATATTTTTCTTTTGTACTATACAATGAATAGCGTAAATGAAACTAACTACGAATATGATCAGTCTCGTGTTTGTTGCAATAAAGAATACCACAAAAACAAAACGCTACTTGTCAATTTCCAAAATTCTTCTAATTTGATAAAAGCACATTTCGTGTTCGGTATCATCTTCGATGCAACCCCGGTGATCCAATGTATCCACTCATTCGTACCTGTATCTTTGTATCGCGATCGCGGTCGTTACATTACCATTCTGCCCGTACAACGTCATGTTACAGACTTTCTATTGGCCAAAACCAATTTCATTATTTCAAATATATTGCAATTATTTGTCAGACAAATAACTTTGTAAAAAAAAAATAACGTAATAAGCTCCTGCCTTCGTCGGTTGTATCTGCTGTACTATCTATATCTTCGTCGCTCTCGTCGCATTCTTGCGTTTCTGGGAACGTCAAAGTCTCGATTTCTTCAACAAGATGACATTCCATCGTATCTCTTTCGCTCACTATTTCAGTCTCTTTATCGTTTTGTATGTTATCTTCCTCCGCGTTTCGCTTAGAAACATTCTCGTCGCTCGAAGAAATATGAGTAGCATTAGAAATATTTGTACTCTCTTTTGCAGATTTATAATTTTGATAATTTTTCGACGCTTGCCTCATACGAATTAAAAAGTCTGGCAATCCTAGGGATTTATAAATACAAAGATAAGTTGTAATATAAAAAAGTGGAGTTTGTCTTCGTTTCCCTATTTTCTGTAATACCTGACATTGCAACCCATGCAGTAATAGCAGATGGAATATTCACACCAGGATCATCAAAGTAGGTCAATCCAAATTCGATGCCTGGTTGATGGAGTTCTGTATAAGGCCTTATCACCATGTACGACCAATATGTTGTGACCCTGTTATGTATACACAGATCAGATTATTTAATAATAGCAAAGAATCCATTAAAACTTTTCTCCTACTTTTACATTTACTTTTATAATATTGGCAATCCAAGTATGTACTTTTATCGAGCTAGGTGATTCCATAATGAAATATTAAACTAAAAAATACCGATCAAGTGACATATACATGCGCGGGCGCGCGCGCGCGCGCGTGTGTGTGTGTGTGTGTATATATATATATATATATATATATATATATATATATATATATATTATTCTGTATATGTAGCATCTACGTTGTAAAAAATGAGCAAAAATGACCAAGATACTTATGATACCTGTATATTCCTGGTTTGGCAGGTGCATTAGGATGTTCTGTTACTTTACTTATAATTACGATTAACTGTTTTTCTTTGTCCATAATCCATCGTCGTTGATATACATAGTCTCTGTTTGTAAATAATCTCTAAAATTAAACATAACAGAGTGTTAAAATTTAAACAATAAGATTGGGTGATCAGTGTTATAAATAGTTCTCACATTGCGTGAGTTATTACATACTGGCCATATCGTTTCCCAATATATAACATCAGTACCATTATCAACAGACTTTTCCAATTTTGGGTCTGTATCTATAATTTTTAATTCTCGGGCAGTTAAATCCCACTTCTTCCTGTAATCCAGATCTATCTGGGTTTGCAGAAAGTCTTCAGCAGTAACATCCGAAAATGTACCATATACTTTATATGCAAATAATCCTCCAGAGTTTGGTTCTTCCCTCCTCCAAATGAGCATGTCTTGCCGTTCTATGTACGGTCTCCATCCCTCCGCTGAAATCAAAAAAGGAGTTTATCAGTTAAAGATATGTTCACCAATAGACAAACTGATGTTCAAAAGAACCAAATATTACGTACGATCTTGATTGGAAGTAGCATTAAATTTATTGCCATAGCATGTGCAATATTTTATGCCAGGTTGCTGAGCATCTATCATAATTCTTAGGTGACATTTTGGGCAAATAATTGTAATGTCCCTTAATTTGTGAATTTTTTCGATATCCTGTCTACAGCTAATAAGCATAAAAGATAAAATAACCAATGTTAATGGAACATTTTGATGGATTTGTAATTCTTAATCTGTTAATTAAGTTTTCTCTTAAAAGTTCTGATGTTCAAAGTTAATAAGTTAGTAAAAAAACGTAATAAAATCAACTGTGATTATTTATCTTTATCACAAATCAAGTAATGCATAAGATATATGGGATTTACAAATATAGTTATTATATTTAAGAGAATAACAATTCTAGTAACAAATTAACTTGTTTTCCCTAATTAACAACTTAAAAAGAGATATAAAAGAGGAAAAAGAAACTGAAAGGCAACTGCAATAAACAATTAGTTCCACTCAAATATTTGATAGACTAACAACAAAAATCAACTAAAAATTAATTAAAATCAGATCACTTCTTCAACTGTGTTGTAAATTTATAATCAACTAATATTTTGAGCAATAAATTTCTGTATTTTTAGATACGAAACCTATACCTGTTTTTATTCTCAATAAATACAATATACATATTGGAGCCTTCTAATTGTTGCGAAGCTATTAATTTGCAAAGTACCATCTACTATACCTGTTGAGTTCTTCTTCGTTTATTCTTTCACAGTCCCAATTGTACACAGTTACACCAATGCTGCTCGTTAGAAAATGTCTAGCATTCCTCATTGTACGACGTTTCCAATTTTTCATAAATTCCTTAAGTGCTACCTCGTCCCATATTCGTGTATATAAATGAAATATCTGCAAGCTCCTTCGAATACGTTGTGCAGCAATGAATTCAAACTGCCTGGCACAAGCTTTGGCTACCTGACCGCTTTGTTGTTTCAACCACAATGCTATTCTATTGCGATATTCACAAAATCTTCCACAGTTCTCGTACTGACCAAAAGAAGATGCTAACCTGGTTCCATTCCGAATGCAATTCGAACTCAGTTGTTTTGATAAGAAACCAGAACATTGCACCACATACATTGTTAGTTTTCCTGCTGCTTAATGCCTCTTAAAGAAATTCTTTCGAACAATGGAATATAAAGGTGACCGCTATCAACCAATTTCGTACTTAATCTCTATAAGCTTAAATTATCTTGGAGCAACAATTTATAGGTTATGTTCTATATTGTTAAAATGCGTTATTAATTGGAAGTCATCGCTCTTTATATTGATTTCAGTAAATCTCACGGTAACGTGTTCATTGCATTTTTTATTTAAGAAACTATAAATTACTTATGAAACTTATAAAACATGTTGACGTTGTGGTAAGTATTCAACTAAGTGAAATCATGTATCTAATGCTATAGATTCATGGATATGTCGATACCTCGGCTGTACGTATATCGATATATCGGATCTCGTTGAGCGCAACGCAAGCGTAATCGTAATTATAATAAAATAACATAAAATATATTAAATGGACAAAATATATAAAAACTATTAAATTTGAGTCAAAAAGTAGATATTTTTAAACTCCAACACGTTACAGCAATCACCAAATTGCGACAAGTGTAAAATTAAAAAGTGATTAAGATTCAATATTATCGTTAATTTAATAATAGTTTGCGCAATATGGATATGTCTCTGAAGGTACGCAATTACCCGAAACTGGTGAGTACGCATATTTCGACGGACAATCTAGTAGATATCCTTCGAGTGCTCCTCGTTCGTTACGTATACATTTGAAATATTTGCTTGAACAAGGTTCATCATATGGGAACCGACCCTCGCTTGTACATAATGCCTTATTTAAGCGGTTTATCTGGAAAAACAAGAGAAGTGGTAAGTACGAGAAATACATTTAGTGACTCACGAAAGTATTTAAACATCTACCATAGAACATATTTATGTACATATCGTGTGTATTATATGAAATATTTTGAAATTTCATTAACCCTGTAATAGGTAAACTGCGGATATTTCTGCAAATTCATATTTTTCTATGCATACAATTACGAACTTACTTAGAGAGACAATTATTTTACTTATTACAATTGTAACGACTACTATATTTCGGCTATTTTATATATATAAACATATTCTATGCGTTCTGTACACTTTTGTACTTTAAAATAAATGCATAAAAATCCGCAGTCTAATAATGAGATACGACTAAAGCAATAGCATAAACTTTATATGCAATATGGATAAACCTATATGCATGCAACTTTTAAAATAATAAACTTCTTTCAAACTAGCTCTAGGAAGCTTTCAAACTAGTATTCCTGGGTTCTACACATCAGAAACGAGATACAAATTTTGATTAAAAAGAAATGGAAATTCGATGTGCCTCAAAACGAAGATTAACCTCAACTTTTATCAATACAATTATAATAGTTAGGTCTCATTATGGCGATTCATGTATAACGTAATACATATACACATATTTATGAAAGTCTTCTATAAGTGTTCAAATACATTTGTGAATCATATTTCATCGTGCATATTTTAGAGAAAAGAGAAAAGCAAAATAGAGATGCTTACGATTGTAATCGAATCAGGTAGTTTGTGAAGTGAAACTTTCGCGCAATCGTCTGTTCCTGATGAGCACAACAATTTTTCCTCGTCAAAGACGGAGCCTCTTGGACACGCAAACGGTATAATATTCACCATCATATCGTCGTTATTAACACACTGATAAAATATATTGCAGAAATTCGGATGTCGCCGAAAACCACTTGGACAAATGACACAGAACCTATCTACGCTTAGATTGCCAATATCAGGACTGTCTTCAATTTTGAACTTTGAAAATTCAGGTACTAGCGATGCAGCGTACATCCGACGTTTGCATAAACCCTTGGACTTAATTCTCTTTGGGAAATTGCAAGTTTCCAGCTGATCGTCCCAAAACGTTCCAAAGGGACAAGAGAACTGGTACCTAACCAACGAATCTCCGTATAGTACGCATCTATAAAATTTCGAACAATCCTCGGAATCAGGGAAGAAACCCTCTTTGACACAATCTTGTTGTTCATTGATTCCCTTGGGCAAGGAAACCGGGGTTATCGATAACGCAACATTCGTGGCATTCTCTCTGCCCGCTTCAGTAACATCATCATATAGTACTCCTGTGATGTTAGGTTGCGAAGTTTCAATGACAGGCTCCTCCACTTCAGGAATTTGTTCAGATATGTTTTCTGTAATGTTGGGTTTTGAAGTTCCGTTAACGGCTTCCTCAATTTTAGGAACTTTTTCAGATATTCCCTGCGGGATGTTGGGGATCGAAGTTTCGTGGGCGGCTTCCTTAGATTGAGGAGTCTGTTCAGATATACCCCCTGCGATGTTCGGGTTCGAAGTTCCATTGATGGCTCCTTCAAATTGAGGAATCTGTTCAGATATGCTCCCTGTAATATTAGGTGCTAAAGTTCCATCGATAGCTTCCTCCATTTCAGGAATTTTTTCAGATATTCCCACCGGGATGTTGGGGATCGAAGCTTCGTGGGCGGCTTCTTTAGATTGAGTAGTCTGTTCAGATATGCCCCCTGCGATGTTGGGGTTCGAAGTTCCGTTGATGGCTTCTTCAGATTGAGGAATCTGTTCAGATATTCCCCCTGTAATATTAGGTGCCAAAGTTCCATCGATAGCTTCCTCTAATTCAGGAACTTTTTCAGATATTCCCTGCGAGATGTTGGGGATCGAAGTTTCGTGGGCGGCTTCTTTAGATTGAGGAGTCTGTACAGATGTGCCCTCTGTGATGTTAGATGCCGAAGTTCCATCGACAGCTTCCTCCAATTCAGGAACCTTTTCAGATATACCCTCTGTGATTTTGGGATTCGAAGTTCCGACTGCAGGTTTCTCCGATCCAACAATCCCTCCAAATAGCCCTTCTATTATATTGGGCTCCGAAGTTCCATCGACAGCTTCCCCACGTTCAGGAATTTTTTCAGATATTGCCTCTGTGATGTTGGGTATCGAAGTTTCGTGGTCGGCTTCTTTAGATTGAGAAGTCTGTGCAGATATTCCCTGTGTGATGTTAGGTGCAAAAGTTCCTTCGGCAGCTTCCACAATTTCAGGAATTTTTTCAGATGTACCCTCTGTGATTTTGGGGTTCGAAGTTCCGACTGCAGGTTTCTCCGATCCAACAATTTCTCCAAATAGCCCTTCTATTATGTTGTGCTCCGAAGTTCCATCGACAGCTTCCCCATTTTCAGGAATTTTTTCAGATATTCCCTCTGTGATATTGGGCATCGAAGTTTCGTGGTTGGCTTCTTTAGATTGAGAAGTCTGTTCAGATATGACCTCTGTGATGTTAGGTGCTAAAGTTACATCGACAGCTTCCTCAAATTCAGGAAGTTTTTCAGATATACCCTCTGTGATGTTGGGCATCGAAGTTTCGTGGTCGGCTTCTTTAGATCGAGGAGTCTGTTCAGATATGCCCCCTGTAATATTAGGTGCTAAAGTTCCATCGACAGCTTTCTCAATTTCAGGAATTTTTTCAGATATTCCCTCTGGGATGTTGGGGATCAAAGTTTCGTGGGTGGCTTCTTTCGATTGAGGACTCTGTTCAGTTATTCCCTCTGCGATGTTGGGGTTCGAAGTTGCGTTGATGGCTTCTTCAGATTGAGGCATATGTTCAGATATGCCCTCTGTGATGTTAGGTTGCGAATTTCCGTCGACGGCTTCCTCAATTTCAGGAAGTTTTTCAGACATTCCCTCTGTGATGTTGAGAATCGATGTTGCGTCGTCGATTTTCTTAGATTTAGGAACTTGTTCAGTTATGGCCTCTGTGATGTTAGGTTGCGAATTTCCGTCGACGGCTTCCTCAATTTCAGGAAGTTTTTCAGACATTCCCTCTGTGATGTTGAGAATCGATGTTGCGTCGTCGATTTTCTTAGATTTAGGAACTTGTTCAGTTATGGCCTCTGTGATGTTAGGTTGCGAATTTCCGTCGACGGCTTCCTCAATTTCAGGAAGTTTTTCAGACATTCCCTCTGTGATGTTGAGAATCGATGTTGCGTCGTCGATTTTCTTAGATTTAGGAACTTGTTCAGTTATGGCCTCTGTGATGTTAGGTTGCGAATTTCCGTCGACGGCTTCCTCTCCAAATAGCCCTTCTATTATGTTGTGCTCCGAAGTTCCATCGACAGCTTCCCCATTTTCAGGAATTTTTTCAGATATTCCCTCTGTGATATTGGGCATCGAAGTTTCGTGGTTGGCTTCTTTAGATTGAGAAGTCTGTTCAGATATGACCTCTGTGATGTTAGGTGCTAAAGTTACATCGACAGCTTCCTCAAATTCAGGAAGTTTTTCAGATATACCCTCTGTGATGTTGGGCATCGAAGTTTCGTGGTCGGCTTCTTTAGATCGAGGAGTCTGTTCAGATATGCCCCCTGTAATATTAGGTGCTAAAGTTCCATCGACAGCTTTCTCAATTACAGGAATTTTTTCAGATATTCCCGCTGGGATGTTGGGGATCATAGTATCGTGGGTGGCTTCTTTAGATTGAGAAGACTGTTCAGATATTTCCTCTGTGATGTTAGGTGCTAAAGTTCCTTCGACAGCTTTCTCAATTTCAGGAATTTTGTCAGATGTACCGTCTGTGTTTTTGGGGTTCGAAGTTCCGACTGCAGGTTTCTCCGATCCAACAATCCCTCCAAATAGACCTTCTATTATATTGGGCTCCGAAGTTCCTTCGACAGCTTCCCCACGTTCAGGAATTTTTTCAGATATTCCCTCTGTGATGTTGGGCATCGAAGTTTCGTGGTCTGCTTCTTTAGATCGAGGAGTCTGTTCAGATATGCTCCCTGTAATATTAGGTGCTAAAGTTCCATCGACAGCTTTCTCAATTTCAGGAATTTTTTCAGATATTCCCTCTGGGATGTTGGGGATCAAAGTTTCGTGGGTGGCTTCTTTCGATTGAGGACTCTGTTCAGTTATTCCCTCTGCGATGTTGGGTTTCGAAGTTGCGTTGATGGCTTCTTCAGATTGAGGCATATGTTCAGATATGCCCTCTGTGATGTTAGGTTGCGAATTTCCGTCGACGGCTTCCTCAATTTCAGGAAGTTTTTCAGACATTCCCTCTGTGATGTTGAGAATCGATGTTGCGTCGTCGATTTTCTTAGATTTAGGAACTTGTTCAGTTATGGCCTCTGTGATGTTAGGTTGCGAATTTCCGTCGACGGCTTCCTCAATTTCAGGAAGTTTTTCAGACATTCCCTCTGTGATGTTGAGAATCGATGTTGCGTCGTCGATTTTCTTAGATTTAGGAACTTGTTCAGTTATGGCCTCTGTGATGTTAGGTTGCGAATTTCCGTCAACGGCGTCCTCAATTTTAGGAATTTTTTCAGATATTTCCTCTGTGATGTTGGGCTCCGAAGTTCTGTCGACAAGTTGCTCAATTTCAGGAATTTGTTCAGGTACGTCCTCTGTAACGTTCAATTTCAAAGTCCCGGTGGCGTGTTCTTCAATTTCAGTAATTTCTTTAAGTAGCTCGTCTGTAATGATAGGTGTCGAAGTTCTGACGGCAGATTGCACAGTTTCATAACTTTGTCCAAATAGCCCTTTTGTGACGTTGGGTTTCATATCTGAAATGACGGGTTTCTCGCTTTCAGGAACTTGTTCAGATATACTCTCTATGGCTGTAGGTGTTGAAGTTGCGATGACAGGTTTATCGATTTTAGGAATTTGTTGACGTATGTCTTCCGGGATTGTGGGTGACGTAGTTTTGACGGTAGATTTCACAATTTCAGGAATTTTTTCAACTATCTTTTTCGTGATATTTGGTTTCACAACTGCGACGATAGGTTTATCGAGTTCAGGGTTCTGTTCAGTTATACCCTCTGTGATGTTGGGTTTGGAATTTGCGACGATGGCTCCCTCGGTTTCAGGAACTTGTTCAGATATGTTTTCTGTGATGCTGGGTTGCGAAGTTACGTCGACGGTTTCCACAGCTTTAGAAATTTGTCCAAAGAGCCCTTTTGTCACGTTGGCTTTCGTATCAGGAATGACAGGCTTCTCGATTTCAGGAGTTTGTTCCGGTATGTCTTTTGTGATGTTTGGATTCGAGGTTCCAACTGTAGATTTGTTAATTTGCAAAATTGTTTGAGATGTATCTTCTGTGATGTTGGGTTTTAAAATTGTAGTGGTAGGTTTCAAAGCTTTGGCGATTGATTCCAAAGTTGTGGCGATAGGTTCCGGTGTTAGGTCTTTGCGCTCCAAAGTTATGGCGGTGGATTCTAAAGTTTTGGCAGTGGGTTTCACAGTTGTGGCATTGGGTTCCAGAGCTGTGCCATTGGGTTTCAAAATTGCAGAGTTGGGTTTTGAAGCTGTGAAAATTTGAATTACACTGAGATGAATCGTCATAGTAATAATCTATAAACGATAAAAATCTTTGTATTTCTGATTGCGTCGTATAAATTTACGGACACAAACGTCGCGATGCGTCACGATAGCTTCATCGAATACGAGGTTACAATAACTTTCAAAATACACTACCGTTCAATAATATTCGGACACTTATTTTTGGCAGGATGTATTTTAGCTAGGCAATTAACCTGATTTATAAACATCAACGTGCTATAATAAAAGTGCAACTGGAATTATACTACTATCACCCTTCGACAGACAATTTAAATTTCTAGTTCGATGATTCTATAAAAAAGATAGTATATACCACATATCTAGTGTTTGGATTCTGTGCGTAGTGAAATAGTAGAATTGATCATATATTACAAAAGCATTAAAATTGATGCACACGAACAAGCGAATCAATCGAAAGCTCTATCAAGGGATGAAGCATATTTTATCCTTGGTTCAGTCCGTAGTGATAAATGTAAAATATTGTCTCATGGTGCTTCAGTTTAAGCTATGATTATCAGATCAGTATCCGTTTGTTGCACACTTTCGTATTATATCATTGCTGCGTACCATTCAGTGATACGATGCAGTGCAGCCGTGTATAATATTTTCCCAATAATTAGTAATTACGAACTATTCACCGATGTTTTCTCTTTTCAACATATTTTTCTTTTTTTTTTCTTCTTAAGCTATCGGAATCCGACCGCTCAATTTTTATCTTTACCATTGTTTATACGTATCAATGAAAGAATTAGAAAAATTTCCATCACAGTCGGCGATGAGAAAGACCCTCTTGCTTCAATTTGTCCAAAATCTTAATCTCAAACATAGTAGAAACGCGTCTGCATAACTATTTAACTATTTCTAACGCGTCAACACGCAGAAAGCTTCTTTTTATAACGATATAAATGGTTGTTATAATCACTGCGTGATACATAAGGATGATAAAATAGGAAAATGGGAAATACATATATCGTGAAGATCACTATACCTTGATGCCATTGTGCGAGCGGTTCAGTGACACTGAGCAACGATGTTTCTGGTTTCGGCCCCGGTTTTGACTCGTCTTTCGGTTGCAGTTCAGCTGAGGTTAGAGGATCCTGTGGCGGTTGGGAAATTAATGAATGCAGCGGTTGTGGTTCTGGTTGCGGTTTTGGAGATGGTGGTGAAGATGACGGAGAAGGTTGTGGGGACGGTGGTATAGCAGTCTTCTTTAGCGGTTTTCTAGACGTTTGTGATTGTGGTTTTGGCGTTGGTGTTGATTTTAATTTTGCTTTTGTAGGTGGTGATTTACTTTCCTTCAGTGGTTTCTGAAGCGAAGCCGGCGGTTGTGGTTTCCCTTTTGCGGGTGGTGCAACTCTTTTCTGGCATTCCGATCTGCCGCTCTGTTCGGGCGTTACACAGGTTTCTGTGCTGATCGAGAATACCAGATTATTCTCGCACTCAAAAACATTTTGAACAAAAGGTAGTCCGAAGAAGCTGTTACACTGATAAAATCGCTTGCAGTTGTGGACATCCGGAAAATGGCCTATATTTTTGCAGTTATACGATGCACGGTACGCGTACGGGAGTTTCTTCGCGTGCAGGGCTTTTCCCAAGGACCATGGCAAAACTGTGAAATCGAAACGATATTTGCTAGCAGCGTGCTGAATTACTCTGACACAGGATGCGTCAGAAGCATCGCTCTTTCTTTCTTTGTACAAATATATCTAGATACTAAGCATACAGTCGATAAAATTTGAGATGCTTGCAACAAAAAGTAGACTGGAACAATTTTACTATAAAAACGAAGGTTTTCTTCTCCGTCATCATACGTGGAATATTATTCTACTTACGTGTTCGTTTCTTAAAATTGTGGTATGACAAAATAAGGAAATAGTAGATCGTAATTGTAATTGAAATTTGATTAACAATGTACAATGAAGTAATCTGAGGATGCCAATTGTCTCAAAGAGATGTGGGTGGCAAATAAGATACGGACGATGATGATTTCAATGAAATCCGCTATGGTGACAGTTCTACAAGGCGTTTGCGTTAACGTGATAATTTCTCACGCATCAAAAAAAAAAAAGAGAAAAATTATGAACAAAATTTTAGTCGTGTCAAGTGCACGACAAATAGGGACAATGAAAATTCCGAAAGTAATTCGTTCTCGTAGCGAATCGAACGTTGCATTGACTTTTCTAAGTAAGTAAAAAAAGGAGACAATTTATAGCAGGAAATGTATAAAATACCAGAGATTGCCAGAAGTGTAACGTTTAATCTAATTATTTAAAAACCAGAAGTTCGTGAATATGAATCTAGGTGAACAAAGATGACGACGTTCTTTGGCAAATTTTCGTGTTAAAGTGTTCGACTCTCACTTACCTTCGTCGGAAGCAGAATGTGCACTAATTCCAATCACAGACAGAATGCCAATCACACAGATATTCGTCCACATTATATAATATCGTCCATATTAGTATATAAATTCTAATCGCGTCTAAATAAAAAGAAAAATGACAGAAACTATCTTGCTACCGATATATCGTTACACGTTGGATGGACGAACGTGCAAATCGTCTACGGCGCGAGATTTATGTAGTTTCGGCAAAGATCGTTAAAGGGTGCGATCATAGAAAATCAAAGGCCGTCGATTGGTCGATAAGACATAACCGGTCGAATTTATGCCACGTAAAAAAGCGATCGAACAGCTGTCGACGTATGAAGGAACAAAACGAACAAAGGAAGGACAACGTGGAAGACGCGAAAGAAAATTATATTTCTCCTTTACTACTCATTGTTTGTATTATCGTTCGTATCGGTGATTTTACAAGGCACGTTCGAGCGGGCTCGTTCGCACGAAAACCGTATCGAAGCAAGCTTTGTTCGATAGATCCGGATACTTCGTTTCAGAGTCCAGTGCTTCCAAACAAGTTGCAAATCGTTGAAGGTATACGGTTCGAACGGCTCCCTCGAACGGTCCAATGTTTAGCCTATGGTGTTTCCTCTAACGTCAGATCAGATCCACTGCCGAATTCACTCGTTCGGCTTCCGACACTCCAACATTTTTCGCGCTTCCATCTGCAAACGAAACGCAAGAAAGAAACGCTTTTGGTTGGCAATGCTTCTTCCGCCTCCGTTTTCCACAAAGCAAAAGTAGCAGCTACCCTTTGATATTCTTAAGAAGGAGAAGGAAGACAGGAAGATCGTCTTTGTTGAACAGTAGAACTATCTTTCTATAATATCTACATATGTGTTCTATATACATATCAAATATGATTTAAACGATACAACAGTATAATTACGCTCTTTCGTAGATAAAAGTCGGTATTAACTTTGGCAAAAATACCTGTATGTTTTCAGGAATTACAGAAGGAGGAAATAAAATGATTATTTATTATTATTTTTGATCGTGGATAACCATTAGTTGGCGGATCATTGTACAAGAGATACCATGAATTAAAGAGGAGAATTTTCATAAAGTTTTCATAAATGTTAATAAAAAGCAATTTCCATCGTCGATAATACTTATCGATAACTAAACAAACTTTGGTCGTTTATAATTACATTGCAAATGTTTATGCAAATTCGTATTTGTACGAAGATAATTAAGGAAATGCAATCTAAATGGAAATTCGCTTCGTCTATTAGATGTCACGATGGATGCTCTACGTTCAATAGCTTGTATCTTTTTTTTGCACGTTGCATGCATCCTGTCGATGCAAGTAGATTTCAGGAATCTTAAATTTCTCAAGAATGCACGAACATCCTCCGTCTATTTACAACGATTGACCAAAGATACGTAATCTTTATACCGTAAATTTTGCAATTCGAATTGTAACAGCAACGATCCCTGTCTTCCTCGGTTTTGTTGCGAAAAGCGTACCTGTATCAAATGGTAAACGTTCAGCAGCTGTTCGAGCGAAGGTCTAGCCTGCGAAGGGCACTCGGGTCTAACGGCACTCCATTCGAGTCTCTGGCTTCTCTTTCCCCAACCGGTCGAAAAGTTTAGCTGAGCTTCGGCTCCAGAATTCAGGATCAAGCATAATAGCAATATTATAGAGAAAACGAGAAACTCGAGTCGAACTTTACGATGCCTATGAAACGAAACAAAACGAATAAAAAGCTTGTTGCGTAACTAAATTGGCGATTGCGATAATTACATGTACAGACACGAATGCATCGATCGTCGTTCGATCAATATAAAAATGTATGTAGGTTCTCTTGGCGGCAGAGATACAGCGAGGCGATAAATTAAAGTCACAAATGAAAAATTAAGTAAATACGGTGATTGATCTAGCCATAGTTAGAGCCTTGTGCTCGCGCGTACAAATCAATCTGCATGATCAATCCGCAGAGGTTCCGAAATGCAAATATCTCGAGTGGCAAGTTGCAAACGTTATTTTGCGAATTGATATGTACAACTGATCTGCTGATAATCTGCCATTGCAATTACACCGTACTGACCCGCTCTATTCTTTTATATTTCATAGCGATACAAACATACAGCGATTACAAACTGCGCAGCGGTTCATGAAAGTATTTCGACACTTTTGGGAACGTTTCTGCGTACATATTATACGAAACATTTTGGAATTTCATTATCGCTATAACGAGACACGATTATGATTGTATTGGTGAGATTTAAAAGGAACCTGAGAATGTAAAGGGAAGAAGATACTTATTGATAGTCTGGAATCGTCGAAGTATTTGAACAGTATGTTGATAAGCCACAATTCGTAGCGAGACTATTTTTAACGCAAAGATCCTGTTAAGAATATTATTCGCGTCGTAGGAATACATTTCTTGCTTAATGTACAAATAAACGTTGTATGATAAATAACTATGACGATCGCGATAGTCGCGTCGCGTTAAAGCATTATATTAGCGAACTTTCGTATAACGCGCATAATATAGAAAATAATACAGAAAAGTTCTGCGATAAGTTTCCGATTAATTTCATCAGCCACTGTACACGTACATCACTGTATTTATTATACCATTTGTATTTGTAATTACGGTTGAATTCAGAAAATTTTGTTAATTCGCATATTGCGTTTACATTAAAGATAACAAAAAAGCCTATGTTTAGAAAAAAAAACGTCATAATATAACGATAAAGTCTAACGTCCGGTCGAACTTAGAAATCATAATTTCTGTCAATAAATTTTCTTTTAGCGATAAAATACTCTTGTTTGATTTATGCGTCTCGAGCAACGTGTCGCAATGTGGCAAAACCGTTCCACGTCCAAAATGGTTCTACGACTTGCTTCAAAATTTCTACATCTATTTTCTTTCGTTTTTCCGCCGTTTATACTGCGATCAATTGGCTTCAAGTGTATTAAATTTCGTATCATTCAACGATATACTCGTATAACTGGAAAAAGTTGATACTGTGAAAACGAAGCGTGCGACTTGCTGCAAAATACGCTTCGTTTGTAAAAATAAGAATTGGTGGAAATATTTTTCGTAGCCACTGTGTGTAACTAATAGTACGTTTCACGCGCGCACAACAGGCCACTTACATGTCGTCAGTGGGAATCGCGTTTAAAGCGACCAACGCGATTCGAGAAGATCGTGCTGCTCGTTTCTGGTCCTCGAGATCGTGTGTCCGCCGGAAGTGAACACGACTGCGAGAGGATAACCAGGCTGAGGACCTTTTTATAGGTTCTCAGCAACCCCTTCTCGAGATTCCTGGCAATTTACAACGTAAAACGTCCGGCTTGGCGCCGGGGTGAATTCTATGAAAGACATCTATGAAAGACATCGTGTCGCAATCCAACGACTCAAGGGTTTCTTTTTTCTCGTTCGGCAAACGTCACTACGAAGCCTGCCGTGATTTCCATTAATTAACCAAGGTCCAGTGACTGGGGAAATTTCCGATTTAAAAGGAATTCCCAGAGCGATGCGAGATATTCACGATAGCGGCGAATGTGTTAGCGCGATGCATTTGCGATTCGATCGTCTATGGTGTCTTACGTGTTTCCTCGTAACAGCGCCGCGTGAAGAATTTGTAACGTTTTTCCGCAATGGAATTTGCCCGATGTAATTGCAAAGTGATTGGAACGACGAGCAAATTGCATTAATTTTATATAAAATATATGTATACATACATATTCGATGCATATTCTATATGCATGAATATTCTATATTCGACGCGTACTCGGTGTATTTAAATTGTATGAAATTAATATATTTTGACGTTACTTATTATGCGAATATTCAGCTTATCGCTTATTACGCAGAAAACTGTGCATTAATAACGCGCGTGAAACAAATCGAATTTATATTTCCACGGTATCTGTCTATATTTTTAATAACTTTCTTTTTGCTGTAAAGGTATATCGAATGCTGTAACGAAAATTTCCTCTTTACGATTTCCAATAGCGTTAAGTCTGTCGATCAGTGGCTCGATCCTAGCATTCGTATTGTTAATCTTTCTATTTTATCCCTTGTCGTTTAATTCGCTGTATTTGACCGTCGACGATATTTCGTATTGGCCTGGGAACCTCTCAAATATCGCAAACTACGTTTACTTCCAATGTCATCGTCTTTTATTATTGCTACAAAAAAAAGAAGAACACGAAGTTACACGTATCTCCGACGACGGTAGATGGATCTCGCGAGTAAAGGTGAAAGATGTGCTGCGCGTATATCTTGCGATCAACTATCACATGTCGAGTAGGTCGCGCGGCCAACCATTGTGGTCTCGCGTGTCCTGGAATATAATTTACAAGAAGCCTGTATATGCGTATACCTGTGGCTAAAGTGTTCGTCTCGCGACTCTTTCGCCAACATCACTCGGAAAGAGGAACGCCTCTTTGACAATAGAGCTTCGTTCAAATTAGACGAATTACCTGAATTCAAGCGATATAAATTTGACTCGCAACTCGAAATCTCTTGAAATATCCTTTTACATTTCCGCGCGTATCTTCGTTGCTCGAAAGTCGCTTGATTTCAAATAATTTATAGCATTTTACTGGTGTCGATCCGTTACGTTACTCGATTCGAAATATCCTTTCGAGTATTTCTTTCAAGAATCTTACCGATCTCTTTGCAATCGTCGTCGCTTCTCCTTCGAGACTTTTATTTAAATTCGTTAACATTCCAGATGGAATTACTCAAAATGAAAAGGCGCAAGGTGGAAAAATCCACTGTTGGATTTGGAACAGAGGCAAGTTCGAAATGGAACGGTATAGATATCGCGATATGTATCGCGTTATTCGCAGCTTCGCGTATTTACCGATATTCGTGTCCTAAAGCAACTTCACCTTTCTTTCAACTTAATATTCTTAGTCGTACTTGCTATGCGTGATATTCGTCGATGAACATTTTACAGACATACGTAACTACTTGCAGTTTACTTTTCATTATCTATCTTAAAATCAGGATTCTTCGAAACACCTGCAAAACAGCTCCAATTCAAATATGTAATCGACTAATCTGAACGGAGCTTTAGGTGTCACCGCTCTCACACCTTGACCAGCTAGATGCATGGTCGTGGAACAGAACCGTCGCGTCGTTTCTCTTTTTATTCTTTTCTCTTCTCTTTAATTGTACATAAGGGCAGTGTTCGAGTATATAGCATAAGTAGCGTATCGCGAACTAGTCCGCTCGTAGCTTAGTCAGTGCGCGATAAATAAATGTGACGCGGCAAAATCGAGCCGAACTCTGCCGATGAGTGGCGATCGTTTCACGTTTCTTATTCGCCGCTGCCGACGGAGACGTTCTTTGTACTGCGACGGAGTGTATCGTTAAAAAGACGCCCACCTGTATGATACGACAGGTGATTTACTAACACATATCTTATTATTCCGATAACGTATCTCGATACTCGTGCCCGTGCAATCGTAATTATTCGGTGACAGACGTCATCTAAATAAGAAAGAAAACGTTCATTCTTGGATATCGATGCGTACGAACCAACTACTCTTGTACGCATCTGAGATCACGCGCTCTCCCCTAAACCGCATTCGTTTCTTATCGTATAAATTACACGTTAAATCTTTCGACGGCGCTTTGAAGTCGATTCAGTAGGTAAGTTCACCCAAACGGAGTTTGCTAATCCTTTGCGGTCGTACGATTTCTCTCTGCCATCAGAACGCTCTTGGTACTTCGATCGTACGTATACTCTCGGCTACCGAGGCAAAGAATCAGTTTGATCGTATGTCATACCGAATACGACGCTCTTCGAGGTTGCGTGGCATCCGACGAACGATCAAGTGAAACGCAATATTATTAGAAAATTTAGACACGAGTTGTTGTTTTAGCAGGTTAAAAAATGTATTAGAATAATAAATACGTTACGGAAGGCCGTGACATAAATCGAAGGTACAAGAAGAATTTTATAATTTGAAGAAGGAACAGTTTATGGCGATACAAAATAGATCGAGTTTCTCCGTGTTTCGTACAATTTTTATATGGGAAAAGAAATTCTGATATTCGGTAGATCTTCGATATTCCCTTTCGTAGTTCTAACGTGGATTCAATAGAATTCCACGGTGTAAATTGGTTAAAAAGAAATTGTAAATGAAATATCGCGCTGACGCAACTTTGGTCCTCGATGAGTTAATAAGACTTACAAGTTAGTGCAGGTAGACATTTCCATTTCTTAAAATATTTCATAAGCAACGCTCTAAATTGGCAAAAGGAAAGCCGTAGATGTAAAGTAGCAGCAACGAATATCAGTTTGATCTTTTTAACATCTCCCTTAATTACGTAATCAGTAGATGGCAAATATTTATACAAATTCAGATTTTTATGAACACGGTTAATAGCGTAGTAGGACGTAGATACAGAAATTCGGTTCGCATGTTAAACGTTATAACAAGTACTCTACTTTGGATATTTTATATGTTTCCTACGCACTTTTCTATCTTCGAATCTTCTAGAAACAGATACAAATCCGCGATCTAATTATTAGAGTTCAACGAAAATGAATTCCAGCAACCAAATCTAAGCTCGATACGACCGCAAAGGGTTAAAAGTCCACCTGAATCGCCATCGATATACATTTGCGTACTTTTATTACTGATGCTGTTGTTCTTATTACGACTATCGTTATCGTTACTATTATTATTATACATATGCATATCGCCGTTGATGTATCGTACAAAAAGCTTACAAATTATTATCACATATATACGTGTACGTACGTGCGCGAACGCCTACATAGGTACACGGATATACATACATACATAATATATATATATATATATCTATATACATATACTTGGAAATATTCGCAGGCACACGCGCGCGTGCGTCTTCGCGAATGGAATAAAATGGATGTCGAGATAAACGATTATCGCCGATCGGCGGAAAAGAAAAGGCAAACAGTCGCGTTGGAACTGTTCGTCGCTGGTAAACGTTGCGACCATACATTCGTGTATTCGTGCACAATTCGGTGGATCGATTTTAGATTCAGATTTCGGGCACACGATATGGCACTCGGATCCCTTCTCACCGATTCGCACGCGTGACATATTCCATTTCCAATCGCATTGGCCTAGACGCGCGCGCATGCACACTCATGCACACACGCATCTGTGTACAGCATAGATTCGGTGTTTAGGTTTATATCTATTCGTGTATTCGCATATGTAAAGTTTCGCACACCTGCTACACAGTTTCTAAACGCACTCGCGCACATAATCGTTTAATAAAATAGTCTATAAGTTAAATATAGAGGAGCGGTAACGCTCTCCCGCTGCCATTTGTTCCATCTTTATTTTTCCCTATCGTGTCTCGGGTTTCGCCTATCGCTACGCTGCCATCATTCATTCGTCTCGTTTCCTCTCTGCATTCTATATACTCGTTGCCCACGATGTCCTCGCAGGCATGTACATGCATACATACGTATTTATTCGTTTCTATAATGTACGTATAAAAAAATAAGTCCAGTCCTCGTAACTCGAATGATTGCCAAAAGAATTCACCGTGTTCTTTGCATCTTCGTTCGAAGTCAGATTCTCGCGATCTCTTCACGCTATAAATCATCGTTCCGTTCGTTACTGGTGGAATGCACGCGCCAAATTAACGCATATTAACGAGCGAATATGCGCGTGTCCATTGTCGTGTGATGCTAGACAGCCGAGTTACAGTCGTCATAGCAAGTCATTCTCGGCTGATGCGTCGATTTCTTTTTTTCTTTTTTTTTTAATTCACTGTTACCTGTCTTTTTTTATTTCTTCGTTTTATATTCTCTTGTCAATAGGAAATAGAATACTATCTTTGCTTTTTCGTGGTCTCTTAGTCTTCCGCCGCTATGTCGTCTATTCTTAAAGATCGCGTGTTACATCGTCACTCGGAGAGCATTACGAGCTGTCCTTTGTTTCCTTTGAAAATTCAATTCTAACCGAATGTTATTCTCTATTGGTTGCGAGAGCAGTTTGCTCGGGTAAAAGGAAAGACGTAAAAATAGATAAAATGAACAGAAAATAATAGAGAAAGGAAAATACTACGCTTCGATTACGCTCTGTCGAAACGATATGTGGCTACCGATGCCGTGATTCGGCACTGTGTCCTCGGTACAAAAGTACAACAGGTATCCTCGAGTTCGAGTTAAGTACACGAGGCGACGAAGCGAAGAGGAATCGTTGCTTCGTCGAGGAGATCGGAAGTTACCGAGTTAATTGTCGCGAACTCTTCGAGTCGAAAGTCGAAAGGTCGCGCGAGACTCAACACCAACTCTCGCTTTCCCGTTCTCCGACTCCGTCGCTCTCTTCGTCGCTGGGTTCTTCTCCGTACATGTCGGCTAATTTGCGGAACCTCGGGCCAAAGTTCGACAAGTAGTTGAACTTGAGATCTCCGTCGTCGGTACCTGCAGAAGAAAAAGGAAATATCGTAGAAACTAGTCGATGATTCTATCTCGTCTCTCCAACAGAATCGAGCGTACTTTTTAGTTTTTTTCTTATCAGAGCGGTTCCGATTTCTCAGATCGAGATTATTTCGCGTTACAGTACACAGTGGCTTACGAAAATATCCGAACAGTTGCCAGTAGAAAACTTCGACGTACGTATATATTATATCCTTTGTATAATAGATTAAAGAAAATTGATTACGCGGTATAATAAGTGGTAGCGATAGTACGAGGTCGTAAAATCAGCCACTGATTAAAGTTAACAACTTTCGATGACCGCAGCAAGTAATTTAAAACGTGTTGGGAATCGTAAGGATCTAGAACTTCGTTCAAGGTTGTACGATGTCAACGCAGCAGCTCCGCGATAAATCGAAAACAATTTGTCTGCTTGTAAAGAAAGATTTATGCAAATCCGTATTTTTCAGTCTGTCATTAAGAAGATGGAACCTAGGTACGCATAGAAAATTGCTTCGCACATTGTACTTTGGCTACCGTGCATCTCTACATCTTCAGATTTCTCATAAATAGATGGAAGCGCATAAAACCGCGGTCCCCGCTTTGTAACTCTTATTCTAATTTATATGCTGATAGCTTTGATTTCATGACTCATCGTTGAACTGCTGATGATGACAGATCGGTGATCCTATTTAACGTTTTACTTTCTCGCTATATATTTTCATTCGCTACACGGCTGCGGCCCCAGTTACCATTATTGGCTAACAGTCCATGGTGAATTGGAGAGTGTCTGGTAGAAAACACTGCAACTGCCAAGAAACAAGTTTTGCGGGAGAAAAAGGAACTCGTGCATCGATGTAGCCCAAATTTATGAAAAAGGAAAATGTATCTATGGAAACTTGCGTGTAGAACCTCTGTACGTGCCACCTCTTGCAGTTAGTTGCAAGGAAAGCTCGATGCTCCTTTCATTTACACTTAGACAGATGGCATAGACAAACGCCAAGAAACGATTAACTGATCTTCAATAGCATTTACATTTTTCTCTATACATTGTGATACTATCTTCCAGCATTATCGATAACTATAGAAGAAGACAAATTGCACTTGATTTCTACATTACATTATTCTCATTGACACGTAGCATATTTTGCAATACAAAAATGTTCAATCGTTGCACTCACAGTGTTTTCTACAATTTTACCTACTATTTTGGCCAGTACAATGTTTTGTACCATTTTATGATATTTTCAGACTGTAAATTCCGCTTTAGTTTTCCTAGATTTTGGTCGCATAATTTTATTTACTTCCGCCGATTCCGTTAATTAAACGAACGATACACATATTCAGTGGTACGTACATGAAGCCAAGGATGATAAAGAACCCTCGGAATTGCCTTCTCCTTCGTACGCATAGTGCCTGACATCGTCGAACGGATTCGTGTCAGGATCCTTGTCGCAGCTCTCTTTCTTGCCGTCTAGGAAACCGCAAATATCCGGCACCTCGTCGGGACCTGGCAAGCGAGAAAAGAAAGCGGACGTATATAATTGATCTTCGAGTGTCTTTTTGTTCGTTGCGACATTTCATTCGAACGAGATTTAACCCTCTGACAGAGGCTTAGTCGTCGTTATCAGGAGCGCGTCGAATGGTTTATTTCATAGCGATAGAGCGAAAAAGCGGAACCGAACAATTTTTATCCCTACGCGATAATAAAATGTACTTAAAAAAGTAACATCGTTCGTATAGTTTGACAGAATAATAACACAGCTGATAAATTAATTAGCTCAGACGGTAATCAACACGAAATACACGTATGTGTCTAAGACTGAGCATAACGAACAAGTAGTAAAAATTGAAACACGAGAATACAGTGACTTGTACATTGTTATACGCAAGATACAAAAACTTTTCGTAAGCAGAATGTTAAAATAATTCAATGATATAATACGCTAATAAATTCGATAATCTAAATCGAATGAAAATGATTGCTGATGGGATGATAATGCGATATTATCCTTTAGTGGATTAAAGTGTTAAACAACGCTTATCTCTTGATTCGTCTTACAGAGCTGTGTCATATAATACCATAACAAATTGTGTAACTACACTACGACTATAACATGCGTTTGCTGGCTTACTTATTCAATTTATCGTACCTCTGGATTGCAAGCCAACGGGCGCAATTTTCGAATCGATAGGCGGCGCGTCGTAAATCGTTCGAAGAACGTTCAAATCGTAGCCCGTATCGACTTCGCCGCCTCCTTCGTCCTCGTAATTAATAATGTTCTCTCTGATGTCGTCCATATCCTTATATAGATCGTCGGTCTTCTTCCTGTGCACCACCACCGCGAACAACAGTATCAACAATATCGCGAAACAAACTAAGATCGCGACAATGAAATTGGTGTCGATCCCGAAGGACACGGCTTTTGCCATTCCGTGATCGCAGCCAGGATCCGCGTTTCTAGATAGCGACGGCATACCCAAGTTGTACGTCTGAAACATAGAATAGCAAAGAAGATATATCGCGATTACAAATTATTGGACGAACTGAATTTATAGAATTTCTAATTTTCTACGTGTTTTCTAATTTTCTACGTCTCAGTCTCACTGTTTCATTTCGACTCGGGAAAAAGATTTTAACGTACAATTTACACGGGAACGTTCGCGTTTATCAATAACGGTTCTGTCACATTCCTTTCGTAATCGAAGAAATCTTTCGACGACAGGCAAAGAAAATAGGATAAGAGAATTCATAAAGTAAAATCTTCGAGGAGTTACATTTCCATTGAAGGTCATGTTGCGTATGCATCCGACGAATCCTCTGTCGGTAGGTACATAATCCCATCCTAGTTGCGAAGCCATCTTCGCGAGATTAGTCAGAGTTCCACCTATCTGCAAGGGGCTGTTCACGTTCAAAAATCCGTTCGGTCCTTGCGGCGCGGTTAAGCTCATACACGCGGAGATTCCACAGTTGTCCACTTTCATTTCTATCGCCTGCAGCGCATAAAATATGGAATTTAACATAGAGTTTGGACCTTGCGTTCAAAAGGTAACTGCTTTTATTCGTATCACTTATTAACATACTGTTGACAGGTCACAAATAAACTCGTTTATTCATGCACAACATTGTTAACCGGTCACGAGTAAACTTTGTGTTTTACGCATGAAATATAGTCAATCTTTGCATAAAATATCTGGTCAACAGTGTGTTAATATATCGCTATTGATGTTCTGTATTCGTATTTATACCCTAAATAACGATGAAAAATATTTATACAAGTACATGCATGTGGTTCGAATGATCATGAAGTATTTCGAACGAAGATTATAGTAAAAACAAGAGCGACACCGTAGCGCACAATATAAAGAGCTATGGGAAAAAGGTAGAACGCGATGATTCTACGACGATGAAGACTAATCGCGCTTACGTTCTTCGTAAAGTAAACGTCTATCCTATGTCTTTCTCCGTCAGTGAGCTTAATGTGCGGTTGATCGAGTTTCACAGTGCCAGACCCGTAGTCCATGTAGAGAACCGCGTATCCCTGTTGAAGTTCCAGGGCCATGAAGTCTTGAATTCTGATCTTTGAACTATACGTCATCGGACCAAAGTAAAATACCAGACCGTTGTCTATGTGAGGCGTTATCTCGAGACCTGAAACGCAAACGGATTCGCGTGATGAATGGATATTGACGTTCAGCTACTGCAGGGATACAGTAGTGGCCAGTTTAAATTCCAATAAATCGAGGATCCGGACTGTAATTCTCGCGGAACGGACGATAAATTTATTGCGACAGCACTCTCGATTTCCGCGAGAATGCAGGAGAATAGATCTGGCGGAAATAAGCGAGAAAAATATCAACGGTATTTAGATACTGTCGCTGTAATTACTCTAGCTTTATCGTCAGTAGACTGCAAATATTTGTGTAAATTTACATTAAAACGCAATTAAAAGAGTAGGATCTGGGCAGAGATCTGTTTCGCTGAATAAATATTAGAACAAGTACTGTATTATGGATATTTTATGGATCTTTTTTCGAAACTTTATATGCGTATTATGTATCCTTGCATGTCTAAATTTCCTATAAATTCATAAATAATTATTTTCTCACGAGGAATATCACCCAATTAATGCTGAAATCACAGATTTTTGTAACGTAACTTGAGAGAATGTATTACAGGGTTCGTCATATAGGAGTATAAAGGATAATGCTATTAGCAATTAGTTTAGCAGCCATAACAGATGTCTATCTTTGTGATAAACGATGTGTATCTTTAAACGTCCTTATGAATTCCGCGGGACGTTCTTTCCATACGTATAATTGTATACAATTGCATGCAACTCCATTATAAATTAAACGACCTTCCTTGCGAGTAATGAGAATTTACTACACTTGAATTGTGGACACACTGCTGTATTGAAATTTAAACTAGCATCGCTGTAACGCGTAGCATAGAAGAGTAAGGAAAGAAGAAATATACCAACCCAAATGAGAATCGTCGCAAGCTTGACCAGGTGGCGGCATTATAGCCCAACCGTTGCCATGAAAACCAATGCCAAGAAGCTCGCACCTTGGCCCCTCGAGACCCGGAGGACACTCGCATCGATCTGCCAACGGTGTGCCTCCATTCAGACAAACGATCGGTTCAGCAACATGACAAGTACACTGTGGATCTACCACAGCTCGCACTCCAACGAACGTACTGATATTCGTATAAACCGGATACGGGACCGTGCTTGCATTCAGATAATTACGACAAGTATTGTTACAATGCTGTTTTTCGATGAGGCACTCGTCGATATTCACCAGCAAGATATCTGTCTTTAGCTCTCGTTCGATCTCCTCCGTGTGTTGCGCCAGGATCGTATTCAGTTTCTCAGGGGCGTAATAAGGACTGCCATGCGCCGAGAACCGTACATCCAACAAACTATTGTTGTTATGATGCGGCGAATGAAGCACCGTGAACACGTCCACGTTCTCCACCGAAGTATTAAGCATATTCGCTATTCTCTCCTGAAATATTTCCTTCTTACTAACGCCAGATTCGCCAGGAGCGACGAACTCTGTGGCTGTCATTCCGAAGAACCGCACGGATCCGGACCTAGCGACCGCTTCCTCGGGCAGCTCTTTCACCGTGACGTTCACGTACGCGTTCACCTGATGTCGCGGAATGCGAATGCTGTATTCGGTGACTATGAACTTGAGGACGAACGTATCGTTCGAGATTCCTGGAAGCAGCGTGATCATACCGTCCTTCGGATTTAAAGTAAATCCTTCGTGGGTCGATGCCCAGGCAAAATGCTTGTCTGGCAAGTCCCAATCGTCAGCGTCGTTTACATACACTCGTCCGATATTTGTTTCTGGAGCCTCGCCTTTATAATTGTAGACAAATATAGAGCTGGAACCTTCTGACATAGCATTGTCGTTCTCGTCACCGATGATTACGGTCAACGTCGATGTTCCCGTCATGGGTGGCTTTCCGCTATCCGTGATAGCGATCGCAATGTCGTAACTCTTTCGTTCTTCTCGATCGAACTCGACACGAGCAAACAACTCGGCGTCTCGAATAGCAAATTTGGCTAGAATCTCGTCGTCAGCGGTATTTTTGTCTATTTCGAATTGGAAAGGAGGTCCGTTTTCGTCCGAGTCCCAGTCGCGAGCCTTCAATTCCGTGATCTTATCAGGAGCCCTGTTCTCACCCCATACTACGGGATAGGGCATGTCGAGGAATGGCGCGTTGTCATTTATATCGATCAACGTGATGTTCACCATTACGAGTTCTCGTAGCGCGGTCGGGGAGCCGTCTTCGTCTCGCGCCATAACGATCACCTGAAACCAATCGGATATGATAAATTTCGCTGTTTCTTCCGAGGAAATCCAGTGGCGCGATTAATTGGTCGCGATTCGACGAGAATTCCAAAAACCGAACGACTGCTGACCTCTATGCATTCGAGGTGGAAAATGTGCATCGTGTGCAAAATGTATAAAATATCTATGCAAGGTACTCATTCTGACGTTTACTACGTGGACCAAATCTCTGGAGCGATGGAGAACAGTGCTGTCTCCTTGCCATTCGATTAATCGTCTTTTCAGCTTTGTATCGACCGATCGACGAAGCGCTCGATGGCACTAAAATGAAAGGTACACAGCTGAAAGGAAACTTACCGTCCACATGGAGTATCCCAAGGGGCCATCGCGATCGAGAGGTTTCTTCAAGGTCATGCAACCAGATTTGTCGATACCTATGAGAGGTTGTTGGTCTTCTTTTACGATAAAGTACGCGATATGCTGATCAGCGTTCCTGTCCTTGATGTCGGGATCGTAAGCGACCACAGTGGTGATACAACCTGTAACCAGTGCATAGCAATCAAACTCGCTTATAATAAAAGCTCGAACATGGTCTTATTGAGAGGAACGCGATTGGAAGATGTATCGAGGTCATAAAATTAATCGAGCTTCGGAGAACACGGTCTTGATCTTCGAAGCAGAAATTTCAGATCTCTCGAGATTCGACCAAAACGTATTCTACAGACTATAGAACTCTTATTCTATGAGCACGAAATTCTATTCTATGAAAGTAACGCTGAACGCGTTGCTTACCTTCCACCAGCTTCTCTTCCTCGATAGTAGGATTCTTATTAAAGTCCTCGAAGACCGGCGGATTGTCATTTACGTTTTCGATAAAAATCTTCACTTGAGCGGTATCGTTATACACGCCGTCGAAAGCTCTCACAGTCAAATTGTATTCCGTGATCTTCTCGTAATCCAACGGCTTCTTCACGCGGATCTTTCCAGTTGTGTTTTCGATATAAAAGCTGTCGTCGGTATTGCCAAATATAATGCTGTAGGTAACCGGACTGGCAGTGTCCAAATCATTGGCCTTCACTTCGGTGACCGGCGCGTTGATATTGGCATTTTCCAGGATCGAATTCGCGGTATAAACAGCTTGCGTGAAATGGGGAGCGTTGTCGTTCTTATCCGCGATCTCGATGCGAAACACTTGCTGACCTTTGTTGTGCTCCCCCGTCTTGAACAGCGCACTGGGAGAATTGTCCATGGCGATCACCTTCACGTTGTACGTGTCTTCGGTCTCTCTATCGAACGTGGTCAGAGTGGTGATGTTACCGGTATACTTATCGATAGCGAAAAGATCCCGGAAGTTATCCAATTCGTACGTGACCTAGAAAAACACGAGGGTGTGAAACGGCGAGAATGCTCCGATGGTTGTACGCGTCTATGATTTTCATTGTTTGTATTGTTAAGCCCGCTGCCGCTGTTGCTCTTCTCTCTGGATCATACGAATCGAACGAAAAATTACATCGTAGCTTGCGTTATGTTTTTAAATGCTCGATGTCGGTGTTTTAAACGTATTTTAAATTTCACCGCACTAAGGGAATAATATAATAAATTTGAGAAAGAGAATTATTTACCACGAGTATTCTAATGTATATTGATCGAGACAAAGGAAGAGGAAGAAGAGACGTACGTACCTGGTTATGGGCGGAGGTTCCATCGGCGTCGATCGCACGCACTTGCATTACCGGGACGCCTGGTGGCTCGTTCTCGAGCACTCTACCTTTCTTCAGATCTCGAAACACTGGAATGTTGTCGTTGACATCCAACACCTCGATATCGATCACGGTCTCGGCAGCCAGCTGATACTTGTTCTGCACGCGCACGATCAGCGTGTAAACCGTGTTGCTCTCGTAGTCAAGATGCTGAGAGAGCTTGATGTCGGCGGCATCCTTGTTTGACTCCAATCTGTCAATTAGAGGATAGGACAAATATTAATAATAATATATAATAAAATAATATAATCGCCGAAAGTATTCGCACGCTAAGGAAATTTCACTAAGCACAGCAACGACGGCAAAACATTTTTAATACCTTGATATTTTTTTGACGATTTAACGCTTTGATTGCCACGCCGAAATCACACGTTTCGCTCAGCACGCCACGGGAGTATTTTTATTGTTCGAAGGATACAATGGCAAAATAATGATAAATCGACGATGTAAGACAACATTTTCCCCGATGGACCGTTTATCTTACTGGTGATCACGGGTGACCATCGTGGCGCCTTGCTAACAGTTGACAGCGACGTATCGTAACGAGGCTTCGTTCGTTTCAACAAACCATTCGCATTCGTTTTTTCGCCGTAAACGAAAAGCGGAGTAACGACATTCGCAAATCGTAACTAGTCATAAGAGATTCGCTTTACCTGAACGTATTTCCTTTGTTGGTTTGCTCTGTTCTACCAGGAACCAGCTCGAACAAGAGACCGCTGTTGTCTCCGCTGTTCGAGACGGCCTTTAGCCGGATGATACTCGCGTCGAAGTCGCTGAAATTTTCCTGCAATCGAATCGGCTCGGCAGGTCTTGGCAAGAAAGCCGGAGCCTTCTTGTGAGACTCCACCACTCGAATATCCAGATCGATCGTGTTCGATTTTGGAACGTCGCCCTGATCCTTAGCTGTGGCGGTCATGCTGAACTTGTAATCCGGATTCCTCTGCAAATATTCCACGATCGTTTAAATTCCTCCCATTCGGCTCGGGTTCGCTTTGCTCTTTCCCATTCGTTCGGCGATCGAAATTCACCAGATTCGTTGCTTTATTTGTAGGAAAAAAAGGTTTACTCGATCCATTCGAAAGCCTTTCGTTCATCAACGCGTTATAGTCGACGCTCGGGCGAATTATTTCGTACTACGCGTTACGCTGAGTTGGCGACCAAGAGATTGCGAATTTTGTCATTAGACGGTAACGAGAAAATCCGCAATCGCTCGATTGTCGACCCAATATTTACATGACATCCGTCCATGTTTATGAATCAACGTAGCATATGGATTCTACTACGTTCGATTAGACGCTAGAAAAATCCGATTGTTCCGGAAAGCGTCGAATCGACCGTTTATTTGTATACAAAGGAGAACCGTGTACTCTCGGCCACGCGCGTCACAACCGAAGGGTCAACATTAATTAATTCGATTAACGTTCGAATGTTTCGGATAAACAGCGTCGCGTGATACTTACATCGATGGTTTTATTGAGAAATATCACACCCGTGTTGCGATCGATTCGAAAGTACACCGCGTCTTCGGGCTTTCTAGACAACAAGCTGTAGTAGACCACCGAGTTGTTGCCATCGTCGATGTCCGTGGCGGATACCCTCATCACTTCTCGTCCCAGGGGCAAATCTTGCGGCACCGACTCGGTATACGCCTGTACGCGAGACCACGATCACCAGAAAAACAAAACAACGTTATATGGAAATACGTTTGCATCGTATCGATCGATTTCTGAAATCTCTATCTATTTCCCACCAGCGTGTCTTGCCCTTCTCTAAACAAATCTACGTGTGCATGCGTCCAGAGATATAAACTAAACGCGACGAAAGAAGCCGCGATACGAGCGGTAAAAGTGGGATTTTCTATCCTATAAGCGTCAAATGCGCGTGTCTGGTACGTTTCGTACTAGACGTGTACATCATTTCCGATATGACGAGCGTCGCGCATTCCTCGTCGTTTGGTATATCGTCTGGCGAAAGAGAAGATTAGAGTGAACGCGAAATACGATTTTAAAACGAGCTGAAACTTTCTTTCGTTGCTATTTCTACGATATGATATTTCCTTTCATCGCCGACATCGTTCGTAGTCTTTATCGCTATTGTCGTTCGTCCGTGGATAATTCGCGACGTATCCTCGAAACTTTCGTCCCTCTCGAAGGTAGGAAGTGCGTTATATTTATTATAATTAGACGTATCTCGTTCTTGCACGATACAACTACGGTTGACGCCCGAACGAGTTGCGTAACGACGAGTAGTTTACTTTGAAAAACTGATATATATATATAAAAATGAAGGGAAATGAAAAATGATTTCTCGGAGGAAGATAAACGTGGAAATTGGCAGGACAAGGGAAACGCGTTTCCTCGTTACGACTGATGTAAATACGCCAAACTCGAACATCCGACGCATATAAGAAACTCCGCCTTGAGATCGTTCGAGATCTTCGATCGATCACGCAGGCGTAGTAATCCACTGCGTAACAAAAACAGAACGCAGGCATTCGCATTCCCACAAACAAAAAGAAGACGTAAATAGAAAAAAAATAGGAAAGAGAAAGAGAGAGAGAGAGAGAGAGAGAGAGAAAGATAGAAAGAGAATGGAAAAATAGAAATAAGAAAATAAAAAAACATCGAAATAGATATATACACCGGGAAAATTCGAGACCAACCTTCCATACGTATCCACGAAAGACCTAGGTTTGAAAAAAAAAAAAGAAAAAGAAAGAAATCGAAGCAAGAGGTGGTGGTTAGTGTAGCACAATCGTATCGTAAAGCGTAAGAGAAAATACGCTGCTGCATTCGTTGCTCGACGAAGCAAAAACCCGTGTTACGGGAAATTCGATTGGTCCGTAAAACGTGTATGAAATGGAAAAAAGACGAAACGCGTGCCAGAGGGTAGTATTTTCGACGACGTATACGGGCACGCGTGGTTGCCGTTGACACATAGAGCGAGGATGGGCGCGACAAACGCGACGATACGTAAACCGTATCGGACGTAGACTCCGGTTCGTAGATATTAGGACATTTACGATTAAAGAAATATCGGGTAAACCTGGCAAATTGTTATGAAAATCGATAGAATCTTAAAGTCCATGAAATTTTCGTCCACGCGTACTAAAGTTATTCGTTTAATACGAAACAGCAATATTTTCGATATTTTCGTATTACGATCAGCGATATTTCTAAAATTGTAAATAGTAAGAAAAAAGAACCTACTGGATTTCGAAACTGCGCGTTCTTCTACTCTCGGCTTCGTTCCTTCTACGATCTATTACGTTTTCTATATCGCTATTCAATTGTGCATAACGTAAAATACTTTAGGCTAATGATTTCGAATTGTTCCAGTAGGTCGGAAGATCGTGTTATCAATTCCTTATTTTCTTCCAACCCTTCCAAATAATTTTCAGAAACCTTTTCGATCGTCCTACGAACACGAACTCTCCTATTTTAATCGTTTTCCTAACGATCGAAGCTAATTACCGCGTCTCTGTTGGAAGATCCAAGCGAGAATGTCCAAGTACTTATCGACTAGACTGTGTCGTAAATCGGTATATGGACGAATCGAGCGACCCATGAGAGCGCTCGAGTCGAGAAGAAGGTTCTCGAGGTGGTCACGCGGCACCTACCACTTTGTCAAAAACGGGCCCATTGTCGTTCACATCCTCGATGGTCACTTTGAACGTGCACACGTCGTCTAGTTGCGGCCTTCCGTTGTCGGTCGCGAGGACGGTCAGGTAGGCTTCCTTTTCTCGAGCCGGTTCGTCCCTGTCCAGCACCTGCGTCGTCCGGATCAACCCGGTCCTGTTGTTGATCTCGAATTTTAGTTTCTCGCCGGGAGCTGTCACGAAACTATAAGTGATGGTGCCTGCGTGAAAGAAAAACACGTTTTAAAAGGCTAAAATGCAGCGTTTCCTCGAACCATTTCCGTCCAGTTTTCGATCGAATTTGGTCGGAGCGAGTCCACGTCGAACGTTATAATGGACGAGTCGAGAGCAACGCGCCGGAAGCTTCTGGCCGGATGAATTTTTCTACTACTTTGCCTTCGAGAAAGATTTTACGCGATTCGACTATCTCCCCGTTCTTGGATTTGAAATATCGGGAAAATTGGTGAAACTCTCGGTCACAATGCGAGATATTGACACGTCGCTTACCTCCATCGTCTGGATGGTCTCTGTCCTCTGCGTGCACTTTAATCACCACCGTGCCCACTGGCTCCTCCTCTTTCACTACTGGTGCGTAATTCGAGCAATTCGAAAACACTGGTTTGTGATTGTGGTTTTCGTTCAGTTGCATCTGCCAAACGAGTACAATTTCGGTTATTACTGTTATTTCCTTGGAAAAACAGAGTTCGCGATTAAAAGTCCGTTTCTGTACACAACGTTGTCGATATTTTTTAGAATTAATAGGATTAATAGGAATCGCGAGATCATTATCGTAAATAGGCTAAAACCGTGGCCTACGAAAATTCTAGGCTTTGAAGCAGGAACGATCGTTGGTCGATTTTACGATTTTGTAAATAACAACTTGTGGTAGAAATCGGACGAGAGATTCGCAAGGTGGTACGAAGCGAAGCAACCTATAAAAGGTGATTATATCTCGACTTATTGTCAAGGGAAAATTAATTGGCTCTACGAAAACAATTTTCAGACTTCCACAGCTCGGTGATTCGATTAAACGCGTTCGGTTCTTCCGCGTCGTAGCTACAGGTAGACTTTCGCACAGTGCTGTAATACGATGAATATCTAATTTTTTTGAAAATTGAAGTTACACGTAAAATATTCTTTTCCGCGTTCGTAGCTCTGCTTTTCTTGCTGTACGTTCGGAACACACAAAACGTAATAAAATACCAAAACCAAATATTCTTACAGCTACGTGTGTTTTAATGACATCTATCGAACAGCAGAATCAAAAATACGGAAATCGTTTATTTCGACAAAAAGAGGCAAACGCGTGGAAGATCGGAAGTCGTTTTCGATGTCAGCCTTTCGCTCGACGAACGCGATGGCCTGATCCCTGCGATCTAACTTTAACTAAACAACTCCGATTCCGTTAATCATTGAACGTTGCAGAAATATTTCACAACGTCATCCAAGTGTGCCGATCGATCGAATCGGAGAATCGGTTGATAGAATAAAAGTAGTATAATGAAAAAGCACTCACCTGAAATTCCTCTTCGTTAGGAAACTGCGATCTCGCGTCCAAGTGTCTGGAATGCCTCAATCTCGTTGCGTCGGCTGAAACACAGAGACAGGAAAATAAAAAATAAAACATCCAACGGAATCTCTTTCTCGCTGGACCAGACACGCGCGCGTATTTTTTCCACGGTTCGCGCGCCGCGTTTCCGCTTCCTCTGCCGTTGTCTAGGTACGCGCGAACACGGCCCCGTAAAAGCTTTCGATTTTACGCGGTAACGCGCCACTCCGGCCAAGAGGTATATCGAGAGAACGATAAATAATCGAGAGGGAACGTTACGCAAGCCGAATCGACGTCGCGTTTTACCTCCGACCTATCTAATAATTATTTCAACTCGCGCCTTCGTTGCCCTCGCTTTCCTCTTTTCTTTTCCCTCTCGTTCTCTTTTTCTTGCCTTTCGTTTCTCCTGCTTCTCGGCTAGAGGAGCCAAAGAAGCTGTCGAGCTTATGGTAGAAACGTTAGGACACATTTTGGTCGATTTGGCTGGCGGTAACGGCGATGAAATTTTATAGAAAGATACAAATCAACGATGGCTCGACGATAGTTGCGGATCGTTGACGCTGTCTGTTTACGGAATAAGTAGAATATAGAAGGAAATTACAGAGTGCGGATTAATTCTTAACGCCGCGACTTTTAATTGCGAATATCGACCGGCAACTCCGACTTGTTCTCGTCATATTAGGTTGTCCGAAATGTTTCTTTCGTTCGATAAGGAAATGATAGACGCACGTTTTTTTTTATATTAGTTTATCGAATTATGCACGAACATAATAATAAAAATAGAACGAAACGGATCACACCTAATTCGATGAAATAATATAAAACAGAAATTATCGTTCGTCCACCATCGCCTTATGAAACGAAAGAAACTTTCCGGACAACCTAATATACTTTGACTTGCAAGTTTTCAAGTGTCAGATTTTAAATGCTACAATGACGTGTAAATAATGATATTAAAGCGATATAAAGCAATCTTTATCCATCTCGGAAGTAATATAATTTTGATTAGGATATTTCTATTAATTAGAATTGCGTAATGCGTGGAATTTTTGGAAATATTCATTGGTATGTAAACCGGGTTTACGTTCACAGGTCTCACAGTAGAGAACTGTTCCTTTTACCGCGTTAGTTCCTTTTGGTGACCAAACAAGACACTTTTTCTTTTTCCATTTCGGCAACCGATTCATTATATACAGTTTCACGTCTAAACGTTGTTCCTTACCTGTTCCGGAGGCCTGCCATACACATTGTTATTCCGGAAGTTACTTACGAGCTGACTTACTAATAATTTGACAAACTTATAGCGTGACAAACCGCTTTCTCCTTTCCTTTCCTGAGAAATCTTGTAAAGTATAGAAGCATTTATTATGCTTGTTTCTGGTCCCCAAAAGAACAGGTTGGATTTACGATAAAACAGGTTCGGATCTGACCGTTTTCACTGATCGCTTGTAACTCACTGAGGAGTATTATTTTTTATTTGTAAACAATTACGACCCAAAATGTAAACGATAACGACCCAAAAATACATTTGGAGCGAAGGAGTTAAGGCTTAAGTTGAAAGACGCGATCATGTATTTCGTTGTTTACCGTATATACTATGCCCCGTGTTTGTGTATTTTAAGTTTCAGTTCAAGTTTACGTATCGCGGTCTAATTTAACGTCGCAAGTCGTTCGACCGGAGAGCTTCAACTTCTTACGATTGTAAAAATTGTACGAAAATTGACAATTAGAGTATTTTGAATATAACCGATAAATAGGAGATGCTTTGAGATAAAAAGTGCCCCGTTGAACGATTAAACATTTCCATTAGAACATCGATAAAAAGAAAATGAGAACAACTATTGCATCTAAAGGTGCACTGTGTTTGCATTCATATGTTTGAGGGCTAATCTACGAATATTATTATAAACACAGCTTAGAAAATAATCGTAAATGCTGCTTTATAATCGCGTAATCGAAGTTAGAAGTGTGCACATACCTTGCTGTTATATATACAATGAGCAAACACTGTTTACTAATATCTTCTGCACGTGTCAACAATGTATTCTGCACGTTTTGCTTACGACGAAAAAACGAATGCGAATGGTTTGTTGAAACGAACGAATCCTCGTTACGATATGTCGTTGTCAACTGTTAGCAGTAAGATAAACGGTCCATCGGGGAAGAACGTTGTCTTACATCGTCGATTTATTATTATTTTGCCATTGTATCCTTCGAATAATAAAAATACTCCCGTGGCGTGCTGAGCGAAACAGGTGATTTCGGCGTGGCGGTCAAAGCGTTAAAATCGTAAGCAGACTCGAATATCTGGCAACGTGAGCTGACTATTTGCGATTTAGCCATCCGAATATCTCGAATTTCGATGAATAACGTGACTTGGAAACCAAAAGAATAGTAGAACGAAGCGGCGAACAAACAGGTGCGAAACTCGATGACCACCTTGTCAGAGATTTTTATATAACGCCACGAGCGATAACGTAGATACACCGATAATCGATATACCGATCGACGACGAAGAAGAAGAAGAAAATCGTGGTGTTTCTCGACCACGTCGAGAACGATGTAACCGATGAAAAGATGAAAAATCGTGACTCGAGCAATGACAACGTGTGTACAAGCTGGCAAAGCTGTAAGCGGCACGCTAAACTCCCTCAGGGGGAGTAGCCTGCTTTTCCTACGCGGGGGTTAACCTACATTTCGATCGAGTTCACAGGTTCGTTTCGAACGCGAGGCTTACTCCGCGTTTTCTCTACTTCGGCCGGTTCGTTCGATTCGGACAAAAGGAAACGACGATAACCGATATGATCGATCCGAGTTTGAGAAAGCAAACAGAAGACGAGACCCAAGTTTCGTAACGATTATTGACCAAGAGAGTCGCGTTATTTTATTCCGCGGAAATTAAGATCGATCCGATAGATACGACCGTACTTCTCTCTTCTTTCTCTTTTCGGAATAAATCTTTCGAGAAACGGTTTCTAAACGATTAAACTGTAAGGTTTATCGACAAAGAATGAAACTAAGTTTGTAGCGATTATTGCATAAAGCTAGTTGAAAGTATGCAAAGTCTCATTAAACTTGTTAGAAAATCAAAAGGCTTATGGATAACGTAGTAAGATATTTGGTATCCGTGACTCCTTTGGTTCTTCGTTTAATCGATCGTTTTTTATATTCCCCTTGTAACGGATTAAAACTGAGTTTGCACGACACAAAGGAATACTTTGAATTTGCAATAGTTACAGATATTATACCTACGGTAGCGAGGATACTTACTCGGTGGAAAGTTCTCGCACGAAATTCGATTTAATTTACTTTATAATACCCGTTCGCGATCAAAATTTTACTCCCACTACATATTGTAAGCGTCTGAAAGTACGAAAAACGAATTTTTTTTAAGCCACGTTAAAAGCCATCCTTCCTACAAATTTTATCGAAAATATTCGCACGTAATTAAAACAGCGCGTAAATTTAAATCGCCGCGGCCTACGAGTTTTGAAATCGCCAACTACGATGTTTAGAACGGTGACCCAGGATTTTTAGAGACACGATCCGCGCACCGTTAAAGAGAAAGGCGACGACGAGGCTCGAACCCGTCCAAACAGTTTTCGGGTACTCGAATCGCACCGTTTCGACGCCGATAATGTAAGTACTTAATTCGATTACCACTCCGCTTCCATCGTGCTCAAGATACGCTCGGGACACGTAATCGGCCGCGTCTTTCGAGCATCGCTATAGTCGTGGAACGAGGACGACGCCCGATGCAATCTACGGTCTTCGAGAACGTGGAAAGATCGCGTCCGTTGCCATTCGTTGCGAAACGTTCCTGGCAATTGACGCGTGTGAACTAAGGACGTACAACAGCGTTCGCCTAACCCCTTAACCCGGCTCATCTTCTTTCCGTCTATTCTAGTCTATTCGGTCTATTTTATTTGTCGAAATACATCGTTCTCTATTCCTGCTTCGCATCGAATATTTTTCGCCGCAGCTATTTTGCCTCGTTTCCTGTCGGATAAATCTTTAACCGGTTTCGGTTCGACAAATTCGCGGATTTATACGGGTATCAACCTCTTGACATACGAATAAAATAGCGCTCGATGCGCGCTGAAAATTTGATTACAGGTAGCTCGGCGCGAAATCGGTGTACGACTCTCGGCGTCATATCGAGACGTGGAAAGTAACGCAACGAAAGGAAACGTCTCCGCATACGTCGAGAAGCTAACATTCGCGCTTCTTCCGTAAAAGACACCGCGAAATTCGTCTCGTTTCAATTTTTCAGCTTTCCGGTTTACCGATCTTTGCTTCGATCCCGCCGAAGGTTGTCGAAGAGAGCGGCAGACTGTCGATAACCCTTTGACGACGAACTCGCGCCGACTCGTTTAATCGAACGTTCGCTCGAATTATTCGTTCGCCTGGCGCGTGCTTCCTTGCGGTTTTATCGGACAGCAACGCCACGGTCGTCGATCCATTGGACGGTCGTCGCTGTTATTCGCGATCGGATGCGTTCGCAACGTTGTACCGCGAATGCATTTTCTATTAGGATAATTACCGACGACGGTGCGCGCGAGTCTACCGGTGATTTCATTTTCCAGATTAACGGAGTGTGCTACCGATCATCGTGCTTGTCGATTAAATTTTCGTTAGCCGAACGCCATTCCCGCCGAGCGTATTCGTTTCCGAGGCGAGCGCCAATGCGAGACGCGAATGCAAACACCAGCACACGACGATTTACCGAAAATTCATTGCTCGCGTCCCTCGCTCTTTGTCTCTGTCGATGGAAATAAGGGAAGAAGAGCGCGCCGTTTCTCCTCCAAATTACTCGACGACGATTAATCGATTCGAGCGCGCATCGCTGCTCCGCTTTCCAAAGAATTATCGATCTTGCGATCCGTATACGTTACTGTACACTTACGATTGCTTTTCCAGCGTGACTTTCCGCGTTTCGACACGACCACGATCGAGACGATCGCGGTCTCGTTCCTGTCGTTGATCGTTAAAAAAAGCGATGACGTCGACAAAGGCAGTACGAATCGGTCGCTCAAATTTC